TTTTAAACGGGGGGGGAGTGGGTAAGGGGGGAAAAGAAGGAGGGAGGGAGGGGGAGGGGAGGAGGGGGGAGGGAGGGGGGGATTACCTTGGATATGTGTTCCACACGATGAGCATGCAAAGCAGTGTGGGTGCCAGACGGTGCCATTGCCGGTGACGGTGACGGCTTCGTGGACAGGCGTGTTACAGGCGAAGCAGACACGGCCGGCAGGCGTGGAGGGCATTGCACTCATGGTGTGACTGGGGTGGGGGGGAGGGGTGGGGGGGGTGGGGGTGGGGGTGAGGGAGTGGAAGGGGGGGGGGGGAGGAGGAGTGGTGGGTGTGGTCGTGTGGTCGTGTGGTCGTGTGGTCGTGTGGTCGTGTGGTCGTGTGGTCGTGTGGTCGTGTGGTCGTGTGGTCGTGTGGTCGTGTGGTCGTGGCCAGGTGGCCAGGTGGCTGGCACGGGGCACATCGGCTGGCGCAGTGGTTGTTTGCTGGCTCTGCTTTCCCGGCGGCTGGCTTGGGCTACTGGTTTACTGTCATCCATTCCAAGCCATCCAGTCTTTTCTTATATGTATATCTCCAGTACTGATCTGTTTGTCGCTATCTGATCCCCCCCCCCTCCCCCCCATCCTCATCATGATCCCCGTCACCATCAACTGGGTGCCACTCGGCGAGGTTCGAAAGCGGCACGAACCGACGAGGCGACACGACGAGAGGCGACACAAGACGGCGACACGACGGGGTGCGACAGACGCGACTCGCCTCGCCGTTCTTCCACATGGCCTTTGCAGAGCTCGAGGCTGTACTCGGGTGGCCACGGGGTCCGTTTGTAGAGCCGACAGTGGTGGCGGTAGTGGGCGAAGCTGCGGCGAGCGGTCCGAGTCATTTGCCGGTGGCTCACCTCGTGGCTCGGCACGGGGAGGGCGGTAACAGAGGTGATCAAGGTCATGAGAGTGATGGGCATGGGCATGGTAGAGGGAATATTGCTGTTATCACCGCGGCGGCAGGGGGGGATACCTTGGACACGCTCTGGGCTAAAATCGGCGTGGACATGGCGGCGATGAGATCGGCCGGCGCTATCATGGTCGAGGATGTGGTGGGTACCATGGTGACGGGTCTGGCTCCAGGTGGCTCGCCTTCGGAGAGAGAATCGCTAGAACTCGTGGCTGAGCGGGTGATAGCCTTTGATCCGGCCCTGGTCGTGGTCGAGGGCCTCGATGCTCTAGTGTATGGTGTCGGATACGACGATGCGGAGGTCCTCGGCCTCTTCGCCCGCCTCCACGAGTGGAGTGCTGGTGACGATGGTGGCCGAGGCGGGAGAGCTCGGTGTCTGGTTGTCACTGCGACTTCTGGAACGGCGACTTTGGCCATGGATCTCGCCGTGCTGCGGTCAGACTACGTCCTCACGGTTGCGCCTCTTGCAACAGGTTACTCGCGCGAGGTGCATGGGAGCATCGCTGTGGCCGCCGCCCCAGAAGCGAGCGGCGTCGTCGGTAGGGTGGTCCACTACAAGGCCGCAGACGGGGCATCTCGGTTCTTTCTCAAGGGTCGGTGAGGTCAAGCCTTGGTGCATGGCCCGTTGCTCTTGTTTACTCCTCCCCTTCCCATACCCATACCACACCGGGCGTGATGCTTGCGCTTTGCTAACGATTTTTGGCGACTACTGCATCCCGACTGTGGCTGCCGCCACGGTGCGAGAGACCTTTGACCGCCGCAACCGATCCCGGGCGCGCAGGCGCCACAGGAGCAGCCCAAAGCCGGCGCCCATAAAGCAGCAGGTGGAGGCGATGAGGAAGAGGTTAGTGAAGCACTTGGCCCCGTAGCAGCTCGAGTTGATCTCCCGCTGCGCGTACACCTGCAGGAGCAGCGAGCCAGCAGCCTGGACCGAGGTGAGTGAGGCGTAGTTCAGGGCAATGTTGGCGGCGCCAAAGAACTTTTGCAAGAGCAGCAAAAAGGTGACGTCGAGGCCACCGTAGAGGAGGCCGGCGGCGAGGAGGCCAAACTCGATGAGCGACGGATCGTCGCGGGTGAGCAGAATGTGCGACATCGAGACGAGGAGGCAGGCACCAACCAGCCAGTACGAGTACGGCTTCGAGTAGCGAACAGGGGTGCTCCGCGGAGTGAAGAGGGTGCAGCCCGAGCCCATGAGGAACGAGCCGATGGCACGCCCGACAAAGATGACCAGGAACCGCATGTAGATCTGCGACGGTGCAGCCCGGTCCTCCAGATTGACAATGTACGACGAGACAAGCTCAGACGTGCCCTGGACGAGCGAGACGACAACGCCAAGGAGGACAAACTCCGGATGGACAAAGAGCGAGAGGCCGGTAAGCGCATGATCCATATGGTCCAGAGCGGCAGCAATGAGGGCCGACGCCTGGTGCTCCTCCATGCTTCCTCCGGCCTCGATGCCCTCGCCCCGGCCATCCTGGGCGTTCGCACTACTCGCCGAGGTGGAGAAGATCTCAGAAACAAGCCACGGCGACGACTTGGAGTATCGCAGGATGGCCTGGAGACGGGCGCCCGAGGCGGCGGCGAAGACGCCATCCCATCCGCGGGCGCGCGGCACAAGGAAAAACTCCCTACAATGAGCACTGCGCCAGAGAGGAGCTCCGCCAAGAACAGATACTCGAGCGACCGGTCAAAGGTGTGGGTGTAGAGCGCACCCGCCCCGAGCGCGCCCATGGCAGTGCCAGCATAGAGAGTGCCTGCAGCGAGCGCCGCCGAGAGAGGCAGCGCGTTGAGGAGGGCGGCAACGGCGCCGATGACAACACCGTTGGAGCCCATGCCAACCACAACAAAGCAGAGGCCGAGCTGCCACGCTGCTGTCATCCGCACAACATCCCGCTGGTCAGCATAGAGTAGGGCGTAGCCAGTGACGACGAGGCCACTCGAGCCGAGGAGCCCGCCGCGGATGCCGGCCACACGATAGAGGTAGCCGGTAGGCAGGGCAAAGTAAAAGCCAAAGATGTAAAGCGCGGCAATGACGAGGGCGTCCGAGTTGCCGTCGAGCCTGTGGAAGGCGCGCAGGTCTGCGACGTAGAGCGGAAAGGCATAGAGCGAGCCAACGAGGAAGGCGGCAAAGAGGACCCAAACGAGAGCCAGTGCGAGACCGCGGTTGCTCACCCGTCCCTCGCTCCCGCTGCTCCGATCACTTCCGTCGCCGCGGACGGCAGGCGCAATGGTTGGCAGTGAGCCGTTGAGCGAGGTGTTGCCAAAGGTGAGCCGGCTCGCCGGCTGAGCACTCTCGTACTCGCTCACGGTCGAGCCCGGTCGGGAAAGAAAGTCAACGACGGTCCGCGGCTGGGCGACGCCACTAAGGGCGGCCAGAGCCGAGAGCGTCTGCGACGAGCGCTCGTCGCCGAGCAGCGGCGTGGTCTCGCGGGCAACAAACGACTTGACGGGCGAGAAGGAAGAGACAGACGAGGTGGTCGACGAGCCCGAAATGGTGCGCACAAGGCCAGCGGAGGGGCTTGGGTGCGCCGGCTGGGCGACGTAGAACGAAGTGCTCGCAGCAGAGGCCATAGAGTTGGCCATGCGCGACTGCGGTGATTGCAGCTCGAGCGCGACCTTGTTCATGAACAGCTCCTGGTAGCCCGAGGCGGTAGAACCGCGCTCAAAGCGGGCGCCGCAGAGGCCGCTCCACGATGACGGTGCGGCGACGCCCGGCACAAAGTCGATGATGCGGAGAAGGACAAACTTGCCAACGTCAAACGACTGCGGAATGGCCCGGAGTCGGGCAAACTGGGCGGCGACGGTGGCCCGGGTGAAGGAATCAAGGCGGGACCAGCCCGAGACAAAGACGACGCTGACTTGGACGGCGTAGCCGGTGAGGCCAAACGAGGCGAGCAGAGCCGAGTCCTTCCGCAGCGTCTCCAGGTCTGCGAGCGAGAGCGCGACGTAGTTGCGCGCGCCGTAGCCGTGCGAGCCCCAGCCGCGGCGCGGGTGCATGACAAATTCCTCAAGAAAGCCCTCAAGGCCAAAGATGCCCAGCATGGCGCTGACCTGCAGTGGCAGCGACTCTTGGACGACATAGCCAATGGCGTTGACCGTGTGGAGGCCGATAACCTCGAGGAGAAAGGTGGACGGCGAGAAGGCGACGGGGTACATGGAGGGGACGGCGGCAAGCCGGGCCGCAACCTCGTTGTTGGCGGCAAGCGAAAGGCGCATGTGGTCGAGGTAGCCGGCAACAAAGACGGCGTCGTCACGCGAGCGCATCCAGGTCGCTGCCCGGCGGGCGCCGAGCGGGTAGCGGGCAATGCAGACGGAGCAAGTCGGCCCGCCGAGCTCAAGCATCGGTGTCCCACCCTCGGAGACGACCTCGACATGGCGCACACCGCCCGGATCGAGCTCCTGCAACTTGGCCAGCCAGACCTCGGCCTCGTCGAGTGTGTCTGCGCGGAGCTCAAAGATCTGGCCTTCTTGCAGAATACGAATGATGTATGCGCCGGCAGCGTCGGCTTGACTTGTGCTCCCCGAACCTGGCCAGCCTTGCGCGGCCTCGTCATCATCGTCGTCGCACGAGTCGCTCCCGCGCCGCCAGCTAGCCACAATGGTGGCCCCAGCGAGTGGGATGGCGCCAGCAAAGTCGGTGGCCTTGATCATCGAGGTGAGGGCGGCCGGCTCCATGCCACGGACGGTGCGGAAGAGCGAGGCTGGGCGGAGGGTCTCGCCGTCGGGCGCAGCGCGGGGGAGGTAGTAGTAGAGCGTCTCACCGGCAAGGCGGAACAGGTACGGCTTGAACTTTTTGGAGCCGAGGCCCGAGCCGGCCGACGACGAGACGCCGCTCGCGGAGCCCGAGCCGGCGATGGGCGAGGCGGCGGAGCTTGTGCGGAAAAGAGTGGAGAAGAGGGTGGGCGCCGAGGCTGCCAGAGAGGCGCGACCGGGCGAGCTCGTCGCATACAGGCTACCGCGCTCGTCAGCGAGCACGCTGCCGGCGGTGGCGGTGACGGCCGGGGTGTGTGGGGAGCCGGGAACGGCACGCGGAGTGGAGGCGCCCGAGCCCTCGCCCGGCCTTCCCCAGCGGAGCGAGAGCGGGCCTTGGTGGACCATGAGGTGTGGGCCAAGGAGAGGGACCGACTCTGCGCCCGCAACTGACAGCTGTTCGTAGGAGAAGAGAGAGCGGTACTGGGCGCGTGCAGCACGGTCGTCTGCGCCGAGGGAGGGGAAGAGGCCCCCTCCGCCGGATCCGCCATGGGTGACGTCAATGTCGTCCGAGCCAAGGCTGAGCGAGGTGTCGCGGAGCGAGGCGAGCTCGTCTTCCAGGATCGGCGAGGTCGGGCGCGAAGTGCGCTGAAGGCGCGCGGCACTCGTCGGCTTGGCAAGCAGCATGGACGAGCGGCAGTAGCGCTGGAAGAGGCCGCGGTGCGGAGCGGCGTGGGCGCCGCCAGAGGCTGAGGTCACCAGGCCGGTGAGGCTCTGGACGAGCTTCTCCCACTCTTGCAGGCGGCGGAGGTGTGAGATCTCGAGATCCTGCGGAAGGGTAGAGTAGCCACCAAGGAGGACCTTTGTCCGCGACACGCCATACCAGAGCGGAAGAAAGACGGCCGAGTTGATGGCGCCATGGCCGGCCCAGGCGAGGAGGATGAAAGCGTTGACGGCGGGCGGGAGCTGTGACGAGGTTGAGCCGGTGAGGGCAACGTACCAGAAGGAGGTAACGTACGGGGCAAAGGCGCCGAGAAAGACAATCGAGTAGAGCATGGTGTAGGTCCGAAGAGTGCGAGCCCAGGGGAGCTGCTTGGAGGCCTCGAGACGGGCGGCAGCGACTAGGACGTAGGCGTTGCAGGCCATGGCAAACTGGCAGGGGATATCAAAGAGCAAGAGGCGGCACGAGTACTCTGAGTCGTCACGCATCCAGCAGAGGCTTGCGGCGTAGGGAAGAGCCTCGATGGCCGACTCGCAAGGGAGCGACATCCAGAGAACGGTGAGGAGAGCGATGGCAGTTACACCTGCGAGAGAGAGCCACTCGTTCATCAACGTTTTTGTGGACGAGTGCTCTGATCGAGTTTGAAAGAGGACAAGGAGCGAGAGGGTAGTATGCATACCAAGCCACATGACAAAAGAGAACTGAGTCTGAACAGCCTCGACGACACAAAAGACGCGATGCGAGGTAAAGTCTGTGAGGACAAAGAGAAACTGGAGCGAGGAGGCCACATCAAAGACAGCCAGAAATGCAACTTGACGTAGTCCACGTAGTCTTGACAAAAGTGCATCATTAACAGCTGCATACACCACAATTACAGAGAGTATAATTGACACAGTCGCCAGTCCCGTGAGTGCCACGCCTAGCACCGTCTCTACCATCCTGCGCGCGCAATGGAGCCAAGGTGCGTGGGAGGTGGGTTGTGGCGCGGGGGTAGGGGGGGGAGGGGGGGGGGGGGAGGGGGCGTGGCGGAGGGCGTGGGGAGGACTGAGTGGGAA